AATCAGTGTTAATATTAAGTTAATATTTATTAAAAGTTAAATTCAAAAGGGATAAAGGTTATACACAGTTTTAAAGTGAAAAGGATGAAGTGGAGATTTAGCTAAGCAGTAAAATAAATTTCAGCTGCATTTCCTGGGAATGCAAAGGACCACAAAGTTTTAAAGCTAACATATAGATTCGACCAAGTTTAAAGTAAGTCATGCTGCTCTCTGAGTTAGCTCACATGTCTTCTAAGCACCTTTAGCTGCAGTCTTGTTCAGTCTTGCGGAGGAGTTGATCCATAACAGCTGAATCATTGGATGGACTGGGTAATTTTGAGACAGTGAGCCAGCCGCATGCCCCTTAGGCCCACTTTACCCTAATGGGCTGTGACAGGAATACATTCAGGAGTAGGCTTGCAAGGCAGCTACAGCAGTATGAGCATGACGAACCCCCTGTGCTGAAATGTAACAGCTTCATCAGCAAAGTGTTGAGGAGAAGGTCAGGCTAGGCACCTGTGCAACATTGGGAACCAAAATGAACGAGGCTTAAGAACATGCCTCATCTCATTTTGCAGCACAGGGTATGTAAGCCCATAGAAAGTGTGAGGAAAGAGCCAGTGGTCATGGTACATCAGTAGCAGTGATGGTGAGAAATAAAACCATGAAGTTTTAGAAGTCAAATTTAAGCGGGCGGGTAAGATGTCGAATGCCAGCATTTTTCACTATAGCTTTTGAGAATCATACGGAGCGTTTTTATGTGGTAATTTGGGGAGTAATTTGGAAGTCTTTTCTTTGCCATCTTCTCGCTCTGGTGCTTTGTTTTAGCTCATTCCCTTCCTACTGGAGAGCAGCTGAGCAGGGACTAAAAAGCGCTTGTCACAGTGACATACCTATATGTTCTGTGAATCTGATCTCGTTTCTGTTGGGATCAAGAAACTTCTGTACCAAGCCTGTATTGTGTTCTCCTCTGTTCAGTATAAAAGTTTATTTTATTTAATTTTTTTCTTTAAAAAATCTGTTACTTATCTCATCCGGTTTGTTATTCCTTTCATTTAAATTTTTTACTTATGCAAATAGGATTGGCAAGAAGAACATTTTGGCACCTTGTTTATTTATTTTCTGAACAGAACAGTGCTGAGAGTTGCTGAGCCCCACCAACATCCTCCATGCCATAAAGCAGTGAAGGTTCAGTTGAACACTGCCCAGCATCAAAGGGGCACTCTCCTCATACCACCTGGCCGTACAGCCAATAAGCATCTGGCTTAGGCAAACTGCATTTGTCAGTAGATACCACAAGGTGCTCATTTTAGTTAATTATTTATTTCACGCAATGAAGTTGCATGACTGCTCCCTGGTGTGACCACGAAGGATGTGCATTCCAATATATTTGATTCAAATATATACCTGAAACACACCTTATTAGTAGTTTCCAGATATATTTGGATCTCTGGATGGTATCTAGAATATTCCAGGATACTGAGAATTGGATCCCAAAGAATCCCAGAAATATTTGGGATTAGTTGGAAATATTGGCAGAGTATAAAGACTCCCAGGACTGACTGACTGACTGACTGACTGTCTTTCTTTCTTGCTTGCTTGTATTCCCGGGCTTGGTATTGGCTTGCCGTGTTAGTTTTGCTTTGGGCCTCTCCTTTTAAATTGGTTTTGTTGCTTTTGTAACATTGCTTCTGCCCTCAACCCGCCCCCCCCCCGGAGCTTTTGGGGTGAGGCATACGAAGGAGAAATGTCAATCAGCATCATGGCATGCTAAAACTGAGAAGTGAATTACAACCATAGCTTTTGGGGGGCTTCTTAGAGTATTGTGATGTCAATTACTGCCACTTCCCCTGATTTTCCCTGCTGTTCTGCAAGTGGGTACGATAATAATACAGTGTTGAATAGTTCCTTGTTTTCAGTGTTATAAAGTTCAACTAGATATCTAGATATGCTGCTGGTCAACTGATGACTGCATAAGAGTGTTTCTGTTCAAATAACACTTTATTTTCTTTACTACAAGATGCTTGTATTCCATTTTCAGCTTTTACTTTTCCCCATCTCTCAGATGGCACTGAGATACATATGTTTGTAAGGCTGCATAGGGTTATAAGGCTGCATAGGGTTGTAGCCTGCCTGCCTGCCTTCCTTCCTTCCTTCCTATTTATCTCTTATATATAAAGCTCACTTCGTGTGAGTCCTGGAACACGCTCCCACAGGCTTTGGCCAGACCTGTTGATCACAAGGTCTCGCCATCCATTGGTGGTGCATTGGCAGGGTCTCGCCATCCATTGGTGACTGCGTGCCCATGTGTTGTCAACATCCCGCCCACCCTCCGACAGAACTACCACCCAGCCTTTCTGCTTCAGTAAGCTGTGAGGCAGCGGAGGCGGCGCATGCTCCAGCGGGCAAAAGGGCTTGCTCGCCCACCGCCCTGCCTTCTCGCCTCCTTCTCCCCCGCCCTGGCAGCTCTTCTGGCCTCCGCGGTGCGCCGCCTGCTGCCCTGACGCCAGCCTCTGCTGCTTTGCTCGGACCCGCACTCCTCCACCCTTTCCTCACTCCGCCTCCGTCAGGGGCTGTGGGCCGGCTCTGGCGATGGTGCGGCCTCTAGGTGGCCTTCTGTCCCACTGCCGACTGCCTGCGGCTCCCGGCGGGGACTGGCGTGCACCCCACCCCATGCTCCTCCACGCCTCCAGGTGGGTCAGGGGCCTCGCACTAGGCCGGGGCTCCGGGGGGGGAGCATGCCTTCTCCACGACGCCACGCTCACCCAAGCCCTCTGCTAGAAGTTCGTTGCATTTCAGCCCACAACGGGCCTTCCTCCTAGTAGTAAACTAAAGCTCAAGTGGTTAAGATGCTGAACTGCAGACCAGAAGGTTGGTAGGTTCAAGACCTGAGTGCCACATGACGGAGTGAGCTCCCGTCTCTGGTCCCAGCTCCTGCCAACCCAGCAGTTCGAAAGCAAGAAATTGCAAGTAGATAAATAGGTACCACTTCATTGGGAAGGTAACAGTGTTCCGTGCACCTCAGCATCTAGTCATGCCGGCCACATGACCACGGAAACCTCTGTGGACAGCGCTGACTCTTCAGCTTGGAAATGGAGATGAGCACTGCATCCCTAGAGTTGGATTCAACTGGCTTTCAAGCAAGGGAAAACTTTACCCTTATTTTACCGAAAGCTGCAATGCTAAGAACATTTAACTTCTGTGTTTAACTTCTAAGAAAAATTTACTTCAGAATTAGAGAAAGGATTACATGGAAAGAAAACAATAGCCTAACTAACTCATCTTTCTAGTTCTGATCTACTCCATCTTGTTTCTTTGTTCCCTCTAACCCTAAGAAGGAAGGAATGGAAGTTTCCCCCCAAAGCACCCGTTGTGTACATGCAGAATAGCATGAACTATCTCCATTATATTGATTAGCTAATAGTCAATCTTAAGGTCACCTCATTAAGAATAAAACCTCCCCCTTTTTGGTGGGAAGAATCTACTCTACACCTAATGGTTCTATGCTAAACTTGCTATTATTAACTTACAGAAACTTCAGCTTAACTCTTTCATGACTGAAGGGATAATACTCGCAAACCCCAACAATATTGCACATTTTTCATTTTCCCTTAGATTGTCTGTAGGTTTTTCTCCCTTTAAAAATCTGTAAAAATAAATATTTTCCCACAGTGGCTTCAAAATTTCCAGAAATTTTTCATCTCTAGTTATGCCACCATGATTATAGGATGTCCTCCCCACAGCAATTCACCTGGCATTCCGCCTGTTGAATTTTAGGCACCAAGTGAAGACATTGTTAATATCTGGAACCTTTTGCACATTAGTTTGTTTTTCTCTTGTGGTATCCCTCTGGTACTCATTGCTATTTTTACTGCTGGTTTTATTGTTGATTTTAGTGTTGCTGTGTTGTCAGCAATGTATTCTTTCCATTCTTACCCTATTGATGTAATTGGTTTTTGATAAAGTGCCTCAGGAGTAAATTTACTAAGAGCTGAGGGAGGTATTCTTTTGTTTCCTGAAGTAAATAAATAATTGTGAATACCTGTGTTATTCAGTAGGCTGAAGCTGGGCTGCAGGAATACATCTCTATTTAATTTTATCCTCACAACAACCATGTGAGGAACATTAAACCAGTAGTGCATGCTTTTGCCTAAGGCTACCCACAAAGATTACACAGTATTTGAACATGGGTCTCCCTTGCTCAGAACGAGGGTACTGTCCACTATACATTTATAAGGAGGTCTGTAGGGAGAAGAGAGATGAGGGTCAAGTGCATTAATGCCTTGGCATACATCTGGTCTTGCACCTTCTCTTCTGTCAGGATCTTTGTAGACTTTCTAGTGTTAGGCTTCCATCACTATTTTTATGGCTTATAAAGAGATTCCCCCCTCCCCCCATAGTCTCTCTAGATACCTTGTTTCCTGAATCATGAGAGGGAAAAGTGCAGGAGGCAATATGATGGATTCTGTGTCTGTATCTAAATCTTTTACAGTATTGTTACCCTCCACTGAAGGCCAATTTTAGTGGGCCTTCCCCAAGCCAAACAGTGGCAGTTTATCTATCAATTATATTGCATTTGCCCAAAAGGAGGTCTACTTCTTCTAAGTATAACATCGGGTGGTGGGGTCATCTTACCTTCACTGACAAGTTATACAAGTATGTACAGTAATTTTTAGAGGGGTCATCTTACATTCGGGGTCATCTTCCCTTTGAGTAAATATGGTACATTCAAATGATTGTGTGTCAGTCAGCACTGAATGGTAGAATTTATCTCAGTTGTGGAAACTGAGATACTTTTCATGAAGTATTTCTCAAGGTGAGGAAGAAGCAGAATGTGCCTTTATGTGGTATTTTGAGAAAGTAGCCCGATGTGAGGAAGACAGCTCACAAGAATTAACTAGGAAAGTAAATGTTTCCATTCCTCTATGTTACATAGTAGTGTATCCTAATATTGTGCTCAACCCTAAGTGAAATGCGTCAGATCTGGGCTGTGCCTATCAGTGTTGCTATGTGTCTTTCAGAGTACCTCAAGAAACCAGCAAAGATGACTTGGAAGCTCTTCAAGAAAAACCCCAATCCTGAGCCCATCATAGCGGCGTCTGTGGCACCACCTGTACCCCCTACCACAATGGTGGTCCCAGTGGGGTCAATGGACAACTCAACACATTCGGGCCCGGTGGAGAGCAAGGAGGATGTGTTTGCCCAGATTAAAGAAAAGTTTATGAATGAGATAAACAAGATTCCATGTAAGCAGTCCCTATCTGCTGCCTTTTCTTGCAAACGTCTCAGAAAGTTGTTGTTGCCCCATAACTGAAATATTTAACACATTTGTTGACCGCAGCCAGAGGGCTTGTCTCCTCTTGCTTAAGTTATTCCCTTGCCCCTACTAGTTAGGTATAAGGCTAGATCGTCTCCAGATGGTTGATTGACAATGCAAAACAAAGATGAAAAGACAAATGGTGCAGAGGAAAAGAATCTTTAATGCTTGCATAACCCCTACATATTTTGCATGCAGCTTCATCAGGGGGAATCTTCCAGATTCTTTTTAGTTCTATTCCCACTTTAGCAGAGTCAGAAGGGAATATAGACTGGAATGGAACTAAAAAGAATCTGGAAGATTCCCCCGGATGAAGCTGCACGTGAAACATGTAGGGGTTATACAATCATTAAAGATTCCTTTCCTTTGCACCATTTGTCTTTTCATCTTCATTTTGCCTTGGTGCAGCCCCCTTTCTTCTTCACTGATTGACAATACAAAAAAATTAATCTGTTGATGATAATTTTGAAGGTGGGACAATGGAGAGAAAATAGTGATTTAAAAAAATTACTTTAGAGAGATGAGAGGGCCTGCTCTCAGAAACTGATTGCAAGCCTCTTGATTTAAGGCTTTAGGACACCACTAAGAGTACTGAGACTTGTGTGTGGGGGGGTGAGAAATCAAAGTGGGCTGGAAATGTTCTGCACCAGCTAAATGCCTGGTCAATGCCAGGCCATCCAGTGGTGGGAGCAGCGGACAGCTTTGGCTCCCAGTGCATGGGAATAGCAACCACATGGGAGAAAGTACAGGTGTGTACCCCCAAGGGACCATTATGGAGTGTCATTAGCTTTTTGGGTAGAGCAAATTCTGCCATTTTGAGCACTCTTGCTGATTGCCTGCCCTTTACATCAGCATTGGACCACAGTGTGCCACTTGAACTCAAACCTGCTTCTATCTCTGTAGCCCCACCCTCTGTCCTGTTTCTTGAGATTCAGGCATGCCAGAGTGTGATTGAACCCATGAACCAGCTTTTATAGTACAGATGAAACTCTTTCAACAGGAGGTGATTCACAAGGCAGTTTGCAGCAATTTAAAAACACAACCAATCCATACAAAATAGAAAAATACAATAAGAACAAAATGAACAGTGACATAAAAATAGTGAGACTCTCCACTAATCCCCAAAGAAACAGGAATATTTTTACTTGTCTGTGGATGGCGATTAGGGGAGGATGCAGACAGGTTTCCTGGGGAGAGGATTGTTCTGCAACTCAGGGACCACCATGCAAAAATAATCAGGTATGATGTGACAGCACTGACCCTTTTGTAAATGCAGCCACTCTTGTGAGATGTATACAGAATTATTTTACCTTTATTTAGTTACTGAAAACATTTATTAGCGGCCTTTCTTCCTTGTGGAACTCAAGGCAGCATACAATATAAATAAAATAATCATTTAAAAACCCACAATGAAGCAGTATAAATAAAACAACAATGATAAAACCACATAAAAGGTCACAATTTAAAAACTCCAATCAGGACTGCCAATAAATAAATCAGTCAAATGCAGTCCTGAGTAAAACTGTCTTCGTCTGCCTCCTGAAGAACGACAGCATTGCCTGTAGCTGCATTCCACCACCCCGACACCCCCCCCCCCAGTAAATGCTTTGTGATGGTCTGAATGGTGCCGCTTTTGTTGCAGTGCCACCATGGGCCCTGATTGCCATTGCGGTGGTCGCTGGGCTGCTGATCCTCACCTGCTGCTTTTGCATCTGCAAGAAGTGCTGCTGCAAGAAGAAGAAGAACAAGAAGGAGAAAGGCAAGGGGATGAAAAATGCCATGAACATGAAAGACATGACAGGCCAGGTAAAAACACACCTCTCAGGGAAGATCAGGGTGAAGCGGCTGTTAGCTTGGAGCACTAGTGTGTGTTTTGACTGCTGGAGGTAAGATACAACCCTGTGCACTCACAAAAGAGTTCCATCCCTTAAACATAGGAAGTAAGTACATGCCCCTGCACCAGTATGGCCAGCACCGAGAACTGAACTAAGGACTTGTGATACCAGCAGTATAAGCTCAGCTTGTTGTGCTTTAAAAGTGGGGCCACAAAGCTGAGGCATTTGCACTTCAGTCACTTGCTCATCTACACATGAACACATGAAACTGCCTTATATTGTATCAGACCCTTGGTCCATCAAAACCAGTATTGTCTACTCAGGCGGGCAGCAGGTCTCCAGGGTCTCAGGCAGAGGTTTTTCACATCACCTACTACGAGCTCTTTACCTGGAGATACCGGGGATTGAACCTGGGATGCCAAGCAGATGGCCCCTCCTGTAACTGCCTTTGTACAAGGGCTTAGGATTCCCCTTTTTGACTGAAGCCAGATAGTAGCTTTTAAAGAGAGTTGGAGGTGCTAGCCATAGAGATGTCATTTTCTCCTGGTTACCTCCTCCTTTTTTTTTTTAGGTGGTAAAAGAACCTGTGAACAGACATTATCGGGAGCTAAGTGTGCACACCACTAGGGATGGGCATGAACTGGTTCATGAGCCAAAATTTGGCACAGATTTGGCCTGGTTTGGGGGGGAAGGAAAATGGACTGGTGAAATGGCTGCAAGCCATTTCAGCCTAACAGCTGATGTCTGCACCCACCCTGCTGTTAGGCTGAAATGGATGCCAGACATTTAAACCTAAAAGCTGGACAGGTCCACCTGTCAGCTGTCAGGTTTAAATGGTTGCGAGCCGTTAAACCCATCAGTTTTGCTTCCCCCACTTTGAAGCAGTGGGAAGTGACATGGACGGGTTAAATGGCTGGCAGCCATTTAACCCTTCCCGGGTGATTCCCCCCCCCCCCTTCTCCCATCCATGGCTCTGAACAGGCCAGTTTGGTTAGGGGCATTTTTGGCTCAGTTCGGTTCAGGGGCTGCCTTCGGTTCAGGGGCTGCCTTGAACCCCAAACCGAACCAGAATCGATAGGTTTGTGCCCATTCCTGCGCACCACAGGTAGTGATGCCTCTGGAAAAAAAAATACACTCCCTCTCCAGCCTTAGTTACACTGAAGTCAATAGGGCTGAACAAATTTAATTAGGCAGGTGCTCTCCTAGCCATGCTGTGTGGATTTATTCACATTTTAGAAGGCCAGCAGCTGTTAGGCAGTACACATGCAACCCCAGCTAACTCTCCAGCTTCTCTGATACACGCAAACATACCCATAAGGGACAGACATATCCTTAGTTATATCTTTCAGATCAGTTTTATTTTGTAAGAAATATCAAAATTGCCGTGCTGTTAGGGATTGCTCTGTTTCAAACACTGGAAACAATCCATGGGAGGTTCTAGTGAGTGAGCCTGAAAAGAGAGGGAGCCTTCCAAGAGCAGGAGAGAGGAGGGAAGGCTGGTGAGATCAGGGTAATTATACCAGCATTATGGTGTTCTCTGTAAGCTTCACCCCATGGCCTGCATTGCACCAAGAGTCTTTGCCCTTTCTCCAAACAGTGACGGTGACTGCTTTACTTGCGTGTTTTGTGCAGGTGGAAGACTAAAGGCCACCCAAATGCCCTGAAGGGGATCTATTTATGGCATCATCCCAGGCAACAGCTTGCCCAGGAAAGTCTGTAAATCCAAGATCATAAAAACGTTTCATGTAGCATCCCACTGGCTCCACAATTCCACCTTTTCCTTTTTACTACTGTTTGCTTCACTTGCAGCGATCAAACTAACTCAGCAGCAAAACCCATTAGCAATTAAGCCACACAAACATGTGAAACCTGGATGGTTTGATGGGCTCTAAATCCTTCCCTCCTATCTGGGCCTTTTGATTTGGTAACTGGGGCAGCAGCCTGAGAAATGAGTCTTTTATAGCCCATATTGCTAGACGTATTTCCTTTTTGTGTGTATGTTAATGAGGCTCTTTGCATGAGGTGCTTTAATGAGGCACAGCCATGGGTGTCTAGTCATCCAGAGCCTTCTGCAGTGTGCAGAAACTCTCCAGAGGACTGAGGTAGGATGAGGGAAGAATTCCCTCTTTGAAAAACTTTCCTATTGTGCTCATTCTTGCACCAGTTTTCCAGTGAAATATCACAGAAGAAGATGGACACTGTTTTTACAGGCACAGAAACACAAGAAAAGCAAGAGCCAGAGTAGCTAGCTAACATGAAGGATGGGAAAACGACAGCAGTGTTGGCAAAAGATCCCATAACATGTAAAAAATCAAGGGCTTATGTCCTATGAGATTCTAGGACACTTTCCCCTGCCCAAAACGTTGAACATCATAGTGGGAATCTACCGTAAGATGGGAGAATGGATGGAAGTCACCTACATCCAGACCATGAAAGGGCACTTTGATCATTGGGCACAGACTAGAAGATAGGTGTCAAGATCATGAATCAGTGAGATCATATCCTTTCATATGGATTAAGTGACATGGAATAAAGACCATACTTTGGTCTTGTAATCCCTTCAGAATTCCCACTCCAAATATAAAATGGCGCCCGTGCTGCTTGCGTGACTCCTGACGCACTTTGATATTCCAGATAAGGACCTGCCAGGAAGCTTGAGCGACTCATACTTCCTTGACTGTTGCTTCTGGATATCATGTGAAGAGGGGAAACACACACTCTCCTGATGGTGGGATAGGAAATGCATCTGTACCCCTGATTTTGCAAAAGACCTGAGAACACTCAGTGTTCCCTCCCTGTTGTTACTGGTTGGCTGCCCAGTGGGTGCCCCATTGTTCTCCCTCCAAAGCCAGACAGATGTGTGCTTTTTTGAGCTAATACTCACAGAGCCCCTTTCATGTTACTAATAGATGCACGTTACAGTGTAATGTTTGAGCCAATATTAATACACCACATTTTTTCTGACAAGAAACCTATATTGGATATTAACAAGGGACGTGTCAGTAAATGAGATACACGTCTGAGGCAGCCTTCCTCAGAAAACAGGAAACAGAGACAAAGTTAAGGCCTGCAAGGCACAAGTGGATGAAGAATTTGATGAGACAATCCACATAAAGTCAATTAGCAAACATAGCAAAGAGTTTTGCTGCCTGTGCTTATGAGGTGCTCATAGTTCATCCCGTGTAAGACCCAGCAGAGATGGAGAGAGATCACTGTGGGCTGTTATTTTGAGCAGGAAGAAGAGAACCCCATTTCTCAGGGGCTGTGTGTTTTCCACCATGTTAGTAAAGGAAGAACGTCAATAGTAACAGGAAGTATTAGAGCTTTCATCCTCTCTGGAAGCACAAGGTTACATTCATTGCTCTAGTTATTAGCTATATGTTTTTTCTTTATGTTTCCTTTTCTGATCTTTGTTGCTGTTCTCTGTGGTAAGGGGCCCTTTCTAGTAGCAGAAGCTTCTTCCATGTAATATGCCATCCTCAAGTTACCTATTTGTATAGAAATTGTGTTTTCTCTTTCTTTTTCTCTCCTTCCCTCTATGTATTTCTGTGCTTTTTGGTGTCCAGAGAAACACAGGTCCAGTAATCACCTCAAGGCATTCTTGTGAGATAAATTATCATTGCAGGAGAAGATAAATTGGCTAGTTTAAAATACAACATGGCAAACTGCTGTAAGTGCCCTGTTCTTGAGGTTACCTGAACAAATTATTAGGGGTGTGCATTTTTTTTTAAAAAAAAATATTCATTGTGTTTATTTTTCTTATTCACATTTGCTTTCTGGTTTCAGTGGGTAACACATTTTCGGCTGAATTGGTTTTTTATTTTCCATCTAACTTGGTAGCAGTTTTTAGGGATTGTACCCCCCAAGTTCTCTCAGAGCTGTTATCTGGAAAGGAGTTTGTAAGCTGCTCTGAGACTCCTTTGGGTAGTGAAGGGAGGGATATAAATCCAATCTCTTCTTCTCTCTTAAACAAACAAACTGAAAAATCCCTGATGGTATGGTGTTTGGGGGTGGACACTACAGGGCAGGTTGTTGGGGCAGGATGGGGCCATGCCCCCTCCCTCTACAGCCATGCCCCACATGTCCTGCTGCTAAAAATGCTATTTTAAAAACAATTATTTTGGTATTTTTTCAAGAAAGTCATGTGGCAGCTGCTGATTTTACTTGTTTGTAGGGTGGCACCTTCAGACTGCCAATACTTTTTGGTGGCAGCTAGCTGGAAAACTTCCCTATCATTTGCAAGATCAGACTTACTCTCTCCCCTTCTTGCCCCCATTGCCCTTGCTGGAATATTGAATAATGAGGTGCCATCATTGCAGAGGATTAGAGAGTGACCTTTCCATATTGCCAAGAGTAATTTTTTTAAAAAAAAAACTTGGATCAGTTTTAATAACTATATTAAAATGTGTACTGTGGTTGCTTTTTTTGTTAAATAATGTCTGAATGAACATCCATCCCTAATGAATACTAGTGGTATTTCATTCTTTATTTTTTTAAATCGGAATATTTCTAATTATTGATCCCAGGGATCAATATGATGGTGTGGAATCTGCTGTTTCTCAGGGACACTATGTGTTGTTGATTATTTGTGAAGTTTTTGTCTGTATAATGCCCTTCTCTTCCTTCTCTGTGCTCTCGTTCTCTTTCTTCTGTGTTGTTCTGTCCCCATCTTTTCTGACTAACCTGGATGTCAACTCACGGTAGGTCCCGATATAATCCTCCTTCCCTTTTAGGTGTCAAAGGGGCAAGGGAAGAGGGTTATATAATATATTCTCTAAGCTGCTGTGTTTAGATTTTGTTTGCATGATGGCATGAAACCTGATATTGGACTTAAATTGGGAAAGGTAAACCAGATTTTTCTTTACATTTCAGTTTAAGGGACTTTGCATTTTAAGTCCCTTAGCTACTCAGTGGAATTGAAGCTGAGTCCCACACTTATTTTATGCTTGTCCAATTGGGTGCCATCTTTAT